CTGCTGCTGCTGCTGCTGCTACTGAAGAGACCGTCGAGAGTTGATGTTCGTGCGATAGACGAAGTGTGATGGGGATTTCGACGGTGGCTGATGATAGAGCGATGGTGAGCGCCTGCCTGCATTGCGGCAGGGGGAGGCTGAGAACAGGCGTTACCCGCCCAACCGGCCGACCGTAGACGGATACAGCAAAAAGAAAAAAAAACATAATAAGAGGCGGAAAGAAGAATGTGTCACTCTCATACGCATGTCCTACTCCTTAAGCAACCCTTTCATGTGCCTTTTTCCTGATTTGTTTTCTCCTCTTTGGTCAGGTCTTAGTTTGTCTGTGTGTGTGTGTGTGTGTGTGATTGCTAGCACAAGGAACGTGTGTGTGCGAACCGGCCAGCATGTCCTCAGCCCCCACGCTGCGGCCCGAGCAGAAGCAGCAGCAGCCGACCCATATTCGGCTGGAGAGCACCCGTGCTTATTTGGACCACACCTGCGTTCCACTGCTGATGGAAGCCATGGCGGCTGTCTCACGCGCGCGCCCCGATGACCCGATCGACTTCATTGCCCACTACTTGCTGCAGCACAACCCCTACCGCCGCGGTGCCGATGCGACGAACGGCGGTGTTCAGCGCGAGAAGTAGCGTGGGCAACGTTTTTATATCGATTTTCCTTACCGATCATTGGTAGCTGCAGCAGCATCATTGTTGAACTCGTGTGTCTGTGTGTGTGTGTGTGTGTGTGTGTGTGTATCTGCCCTCTAGTGTCGCTCAATTCTTGTATATGTGTTTATATACATACATATGTCTCTTTCTCTCTGATACGCATAAATAAATACATACATGTACCCATTTGCAGCTCTGTAAATATATATATACACCTTTGTGTCTGGAGGCATATAGCGTTGCGTGTTATTTGGGCTTGATACGGCTTTTCCACAGGCGGAGAGGCGTTGACCACACGTGGCAGAGGGGGTGTGCCGCCAACGTCCATTGTTCGTGAAAATATACTTTTTTGCTCTGCCAGCATCACTCCCGGCATGGCAGCCAGAGCCGCAGCCGGCTTGAGCGCCGTGCCGGCAGCTGGCGGCACCTCGCTGGTGATAACCGCTTTTCAAACGAGCCTCGACAACCTGCTGCTCGAGGCGACGCGGCACCGCACCATGAACCCGCTGCGTGACGCCGTACAGTCGGCGCGCATCAAAGGCTTCACTGCGGAGGACATCTTCCATACGTTTGTTCTCGCCTGCGACACACTGCACGGTCGCCGGCAATACCGGCATCTTCTGCTGCAGAGCCTCAGTGACTTGGGCAAAATGGCGTCGCTGCGGATGTTGCCCATATCGGAGAGCGTTGTGCACGTCATCTGCCACCTTGTGTGCAAGCTCCTGGGAAACGGCAGAATCCATAACAGCAACAGCAGTTGCAACTACTTGCTGCAGAACAGCATGCGCGGCTCAACCATGCGGCGGCACGGTAGCGTGGACAGCATCCCCGGCTCCATCTCACTAGAGGGAGGACTCGGCGGGGATGCGGAGTCGAGGGAAGGCTCGGCCGCGCTTCCTTCTCTTGCTCCAGGCGGGGTTGGTGGTGGCGGCAGCAGCGGCAGTGAGATGGGGGAGTTGATGTCGGTCGACGAGGAGCTGCAGATGCGCATTCTGCAGACGCTCATAGCGTACATTGCAGCCTGCGAGCTGCGCAACGCGGCACTGGCAGATATCATGGGTATTCTCTTCATGATCTATATACAGGCACCGCCGGGCTCCATGCTGGAGGCGACGTGTGCAGCGACGATTGAGCAGCGCACGCAGGCATTCCTTCGCAGCTTCCGCACGAGCAGCGGTATGAACCAGGCGGGAGACGGCGATAGCGACGGCGACGGCAGTAGCAGCGCCAACGCGGACGATGACCACGCCTCCTTCACTGCGCAGCTGCAGTCAGTGGCCTATATGAAGGACATCTGCAGTCTATGCGCCGGCTCTGCTCCCAAGTGGCTGAAGCTGGGTGTGCAACGCAAGAGCTCAGCAGCAAACACACCGCCCGTGCTTCAGCATGTCGCCGTCATAGTGATGCCACCGCGGCGGCTACGTGTGCTGCTACTGAAGACGCTAATCGCACACTTTGTGGAGAATGAACCGATCACATCTTCGCAGCAGATCAATATATTCTTTGCGCAGTGCCTCAACGAGGATGTAGTGTCGCTTGTCTTGGGGCGTGCGCGCCTTCCTGAAGAAAACCAGCTGAGGCATTCGAGAGTAGATGCTCTTGTAGACCTAGTCCCCATACCGGATGAACAACAAGACGAGGAAGAGTTCTACCTGGCACAGAAACTAGGCGTTACGGTGATAACAAGGGCGCTGCCAGTCATGCGACACACGATGCCGGCGCTCCTGCGGCACCATGTCATGCTTGTGAAGTTGTGCAATGAGGGCGACGGAGGCGAGGAGGACGCGCGACGCATGGCTATTGTGCTCGCAGTGTGGCGTAAGGCCATTGCAGATCATGAGGTGCTGCAGCAGTTGCTGCTGCTCACACCCACTACCAGCATCACCTGCAGGAGGGACCCCTCCACATTAGGCATGCGGGCATCCCCGTCGTCGCAGCAGCAACAGGGGCGCGTTCCCGTTCACCAGGCAGCGATATCAATACGGGATTCCTTGTCTGACCTGGACGCTGTGGTGGCGGAGGACATGGACGGCACGCAACCCTTCGCGGACATCGTGAACGCAGCCGCTCAGCTACTCTCCAACATCATCACCACCTCGAAGGGCATGCTGGATGTTGACTGCGTCGCCACACCCGAACTTAGGACACATGTCAGTAGCGCTCAGAGGTTCACTGTAGCAAAACAACTATTTGGTCCGCTTCAACCCAACGCCTCAACCACACAGCGGCAGGGAGCAGGGAGCAGCAGAAGTTCACCGCCGGATCGGGCATCAAGGGTGAACGCAGCGGAGCTGCACCCAGGAACGAAGTACGTGAGCGACGTACTCGCCTTCCTAACCATGTTCACTCAAGGTTTCGCCCGGATGGTGGAGGCATCAATAATGTCGCCAACCGCTTCTCCTGCTGCTGTTACCACGGCTCGTCAAGAGGCAATAGCTGTTTTCACCCCACTGCACTCCCCCCTCTTGCGCTGTTTTGCACTCGCAGTGCAGCATCTTCAGGGCAATGACGTGATCCACACCATCCTGAAGGGCATCACGCACCTTGTTCAGGCATGTTGCATTCTCGGTCTCCCCGCACAGCGCGACGGCTACCTTCAGGTCTACCTCTCACGGCTCCGCACGCAGCCGCACCAGCAGAAACCTGAGCCCTTCGAGTCAACAGACGGAGCATCGTTAGGGGATCAGCGGGGGAGGAATCTCGCAGAGAATCGCACGAAAACAGAAAGTGGTGCGGGGTTGCCTGAAAAGGCAATGCCGAAGATGCGGGCTGTGGTTGTCGTGCCACACTCTATCGAGGCGCTGCAGCAGAAGCTGTACGTTCTGAACTGTGTCATATCGGTAGCGAACAGCATGGGCGCCGTCCTTGAGGATGGATGGGGGCCCGTTGCATCCTGTCTGCTTTTGGTGGAGCCGTTGCTGCAGAACTTTCACCGCGTTGTGGAACAACAACAACAACAGAGGATGGTGGAGGAGGCGACACTGCAGCTGCAGGATGTTTTACAAAATTCAGACCACATCCGCGATTCGCTGCACCTGCTATTCATCAACAGCGCACACTCAGCGGACGGCGCGACGCTAGAGGTGCTTCTGAAACACTTTGTCGCGGAGGCGTGCCGCCGGGGCCCGCAGAGCCACCTGCAGTCACTGCAAATGGTCAGCGAGTGCTGTGCGTTGGCGCTGATTTCAGCGGCGGAGCGCCGTGACGCTTCTTTCGCGTGGCTGCGCCGGTTGTGGTGCACCGTCAAGCCGTTCTATCTGCACGTGTTTGACACGGCGAGTCTGGCGCAGCTTGTGAGCATCTGCAACCCGTTAGAGCCGCTGAAGCGGCTCGTCGAGGACATCGCAGTCGTCATGGCGCAGTTTTGTCGGAGTGTTAGTAATAGCAGTCATGACAGCGATGGTAAGGGTGTGGTGGTGGAGGAGGAGGAGGAGGGGGCACTGCGGCTCTCCGTGGGGCTGTACGCGACGGCAAGACTTGTTGTGCGGCTAGACTACTTAAGCCCTACACCGACGCGAAGACGGAGGGATGCGTCGCGAGTGGATACACACGACCACATCGGCCGGAATGATAGAGAGACGATGGGAGACAATGAGGAAGTAAAAAGGCAGCTGCTCGCCTCACCGGCGGAGTTGCTCGCCAGGATCTACGAGTCTGTACTGCAGCTGCTGCAGCATCACACGGATTTCCAGCAGTTGCACGAGCCCACGGGGCCTGGTGTTGACAAGCGTGAGGTGATGGAGGCGGTAACGTGTAGGGTGTCTCTTGTGCTGCTGCGTGAGGTGCTAAAGCTTGTACAGGGCTTTGGCGAGGAGCTGCGCGGTGCCGTGTGGGAACACCTGCTGCGGCCACTTCGCCGCACTGCCATGCCACTTGCATTTTCAACGCTGCCGCGGGGCGCCGCCGCCGCCGCTGCTGCTTCTGCTGCTGCGATAGCAGTGGAGGTCAAGCAAAACGTCAACGTTGCTTTTCGTGCGCTAGAGACGATTCAGCACTCCTGCATCACGAGCCTCGATGACGAGGGGCTGCGGCAACTCATCCGCTGTGGTGGCGCCTTCATGACGCACAGCCTCCCCGGCCCGGAGCAGCGCCTCAACATCAACCTCAGCGCGGTGCAGCTGCTCTGGTCTATTGCCGACTACGTCGTCTCGCGTGAGATGCAGCAGGAGAAGGACGGTGACTGGAATGATGACCTTTTGTGGTGCACGCTGCTGATGCAGCTGTACGATGGTTGCCTCGACGAGCGGCCGGAGGTGCGGCAGAGCGCGCTCAAGACGCTCTTCTCGCTCGTGCAGACGTACGGCGGTCGCCTCTCTGCCGACTGCTGGCGCTGCGTGCTGTGTGGCGTGATGATGCCGCTGATGGACGTCGCGGTGCGGGCGAGCGAGGCGTGCGCGATTCCCGCTGCTGCTGACGGCC